ATAATTCGTGTAAATCGTCAACGAAATAATGCAAGTTGAAGAATTTTTACCGACACGACGATTCGGTCAATTGTAACAATTATAACACCAATATCGAGGTGATAACTTTATACAAGATGTGATAATTCATCAACAAGATGATAGTGCGAGTTTCAAAATGTTTACAGCTCCTGTTGGCCTCTAATTGTGATTTGGACGTTATGTGATCGAGGCCAACGAGGCCAAAATACTACATACATGTATATTTAAATTAGTAGACTATACTAATGCTATAAAATAACTTGAAGCTAAACTTAATTAAATTAGGCTAGATTGATTCTATCACACGCTGTCTACTTTGCTTTGTTCTCGAGTCACACTTTTCCTCGACGTGCACTCTTATTATCGTCATATTCTTAATGTTATATTATTTTACCAATATCGTGAGTAAAATCGTACAATACCTGCAGGCCATCTTAACTTGACAAGATCATAAATTTGACCTACGCTAGGTTTTAACATTCCTACAATATTAATTATTTATTGCGACAATTAGTGAATTTCTCTTGCAATCTTGCTTTTTTCAAGTATTCCACCGTTTCTATCAGTCCTACGAACAAAGCATTCGGGATGTTATTCAGAAGTTTAGACCAGTTGCAAATGCCCAAGGGGGTAAACCTTTCTCGCGGAGAAAGCTGCGTTCGTAAGCTGAGAAGTGCTTTAAAAGAGTTTTCGTCTTCGTGCTTCCGGGCACTAAGGTATCTACGAGGATAGTAAACGTTCTTCGAAGCAAAAGTTCTCCATTCCGGAGCATCGTAGTTCGAACAACGAAACGTCGTTAATAAAATTTATCTAGCTATGCTATAGTTCGCTACGGTATTTACGGCTTGTTCTTACGCAGCACCCAAAAATTCAAAAGTACGTCATCTTCGAATTTTCCCATTTTAAGAACGAAGTGAAAACGAAGCGAGACCGAACATTCGACGTTCAGTTAATAGCTAAAACGAGACGAATAAAAATTTTATTCGAGGAATTCTCCGTGCTTTCATCTGTCTAGTCGCGATTAGGTAATATCGTTGCGAGAGTCTTTGAGCTGCAGCCTCCTTTGAGATATACGTGAGAGTGCCACCGCAGCTTCAGAAAGCTCAGGGGAAGTTTGAAAAGAGGGAGCTTCTAATTGTTGACATTAAAGGGATGGGTTACTGCCGGCAGAATCGCGAAAGAAAACGAACAAAAGCGCGAAGCCCGAGTGAATCGCGGCATTCACGCGAGTCGATTACATTTTTATGAAGTTACATTCGGCGGGACCGGGGGGATCCAATCTCGTTTCGTCAAAGGTGGTTTGTGCAACGGCAAGTAGACTGAAAGTGTTAATTCCTACAAAGGAAATTAGCCTTTAATCGCATTCGGAGAGTAAACAGGCGATGCTTGTGAAAACGTATAAAGGAGATCTAAAAGGGATGGGATTGAAGAGTCGAAAGTCACTTTTTTTTTTTAGATATTAACGCCAGAACAATCAGAATTGGCCAAAACGATCAATTTTATAACCAACTTTTTTCCTAGAAATTTTATAGATGTAAAATAGTGTATTTTTAGAAATTGGTATTATTATAATACAGTGTGAGCCAATACAAGAGTGGGCCAATATTTTTCTTTTTAAACAAAATATAAGAAAAAAACTAATTTTGTTAATTTTAAATTAAACTTTAAAGTTTGAATTTTAATTCATTTTAATAGGAAGTGATTTTTGACCTATCCTGTATTGCAACATTATATATTATAAATGATATTAATATTAACACACCATTTATATATTAATTACCATTTATATTATAACTTATAATGGTAACTATTATATAATTATATAATTACCATTACATTATAATGGTAACTATTATATAATTATATACCATTTATAACATATAATATTATATTAAAATAAAAGCTTTCGCACATTTATCTGTATTATAAGGTTTTTTCTTTTTTCTTTCTCCATTTCATTTTATCTCTGATGAAAATTTTATACTCTAATCGTTGGTAGTTCCAGTGTTAATAGAGTCTGACAACTCACGTGGTATAATTCGTATTTGAAGAAAGATCGATGAAAGCATTTGTTGAGTTACTTTTGCAAATTCTGTAAATTCGTAGCGTGAAAAATGAACGAAAGTATAATATGTACAAATTTCTCGTTGAACATTCTCCGTTGTTCTTATTTGTCTCGACGATCCGCGGTTTCCAAACCCTCTCGCAAACCGCGACCTAAACAATCAAATTCATCGAGTGAATTCGTTCGAAAACAGCCCTGGAAATCCGCCGTCCTATCATTGGGAACTATCGAGAGAACGTGCGGATCGAGAGAGCTGGCTAAATGCATCGCCGGCGGTTATTAAATCTAGAAAGGGAGGACCGTTCGAGGCGGAGGCACGTTCGGTTGGCAACCCTTCAAGCGGGAGGCACGGAGCTCTCTCTCTCGCTATGCAATAATAACATTGCTCGACACGCTGGTACATCGGCTCAGACGTTTTCGTTGTAGCCGGGGGATTAATTTGAAACGCGTTCGGCTTGGGTCCTAGAAACAGGATGGAGAATGAGAGGAGGGGGAGGAAAATTGGGTCACGTGCCGTGCCCCGATGAAAGCCATTGTACGCGTTAAACCGTGTACGTGGACTGCGTCGATTCGCAATTGTCGCGAATTCTTGATCCAGATTAGCGGCCGTCGGCCAATATTGCGCGTTCCGCGCGACGAATACTAAACGACACTGGACACCCACGGGGACACCTGGCTGGAGCAGATCCATTCGGGCTAGCGAACGAAATGTTTAGATGCTAATGAGGCGACCGTTTCCGGGAAGGAGCGAGCGACGTAACAGTTGCAATACGAGATATCGTGGAAGTTGATGGACTCGATTGTCCCCGCGTTGGAACGTATTGGAATATTTAAACGAGGGAAACTTACATTTTGTGATAGAAAAAAAAAAGAAGACTTTGATGATCGAATGAACAGTGGTTGAACGTGTTTGATAGTGGATTCGTTGATTGTCTCCGCGTTGGAACGTATTGTGAGAATATCCATAAGTAATATCGTTTCTCGACACTGTACGAAATTTTATTTTATAAGCTATTAAATATATTAAATTTCTTTTTTTAAACTATCGTCACTAGAATTGAAACATTCAGCGTATCTACGATGGGATATTTAAGCGAGAGAAACTTCTATTTTGTAATAGAATAAACTTTGATCTTGGGATAAACAGTGGTTGAACACGTTTTTTACTTTGTTCGATCATTAGAGTTTTTCTTTAAATTTCCAAAGTTTTATTAATTAAGGGAAATGCATCTCTCTTTCCCGGAGATGCACGACAAGATAAGATTCAAAGTTTCTAGGTAGATTTTAGATGAAGATAATACGTAACACTCGATCTTCGTAGAGGTTGAGAAAATCGATAAGAAGACGAGAACTTGCAGAAATAGTTCTCTGCTGGCGAATGCGGAGGGGAAGCCACATTATAAACTTCAGGGTACCAACATGAAATCGCACACATGCTATATAACTATACACCGAATCTGCCTCTCCTAATCTTGCCCTCAAAAGCGACCCTATTGATCCTGCCAGCTCTATTTACTTGTGTTAATTTACTGTTCCGACTTGGTTTATCTCAAAAAGGTCCATCCGTTTTGATCAAAGTGCTTTTCAGCAACTTCGAAATTCAGCGTAAATACGGACGCGCAATTGCAGAAAAGTCCCGAGACACACGCAAGAACAGTTTACTTTTCAAAAAAAAAGAACACTTTGCTCTGAAAGTTTGATCAGTCATTTTCTCGTAAATGAAATCCAAATGAATTTGAACAGAACAGATGACTAGAAATTGGAAATTTGAAAGTTAGAAAATGCAAACGATGGTTTGTTCGTGCTGCTTGCAGGTATAATGCAACAGGATAACGCCGAACAAGTGATCCTGGACCCGAAGTTAATCGCGAAACACTACCTCAGGACTTGGTTCTTTCTCGACCTCATTTCCTCCATACCACTAGACTACATTTTCCTCATATTTAATCAAGTAAGTGCATATTAATTATCGCGCGGCCGGGCGTGCATATTTACGTGTATATTTCTTGCTTCAATTCGTTTAAGCCGGAGTTGTGTTTTAGTTCTCCGCTGCGAAACTCGATTTGTGTAATTAATCTGTTTACACGAGCCTCGACGAGACACTTCAACGCGCGTACAACCACGGTCTTTCCAACTGCGTAAATAAATTAATCGTGGTAGCTGTTTCAATATTTAAATTATCCGCGTCGTCAACAATTCCAGTTGTTCTCTTTTTTTTTTTTCTCGTTTCTCTTCTATCGCTGTTAAGTCAACGTTAGCAGAGTGGAAAAAGTCCAATCCGTGAGTTCTTTGCAATCGAAGAAGAAAGTATTGAGTTGTCAGGAAAGTTCGTGCCGATTTTCACTAAATGGAACACGCCTGAGTGTGTCAAAGTTATTGAGAACGTATGATTTGTGTGCATACTCTTAAAAGCGACGTTCCCAACGCATCTTTAAGGAAAAAAGTTGCTTGAAGATAAATTGACTTGTGTGTTAGCTTTGCACCCTATTGAAGACAAAGACGCATTTTAGACACTTCAACTCTTTGGTCGACGTAACAAACCACCTTGAGAAACCTGAGAAGTTCTGGAAGGATGGAGGATCTTCAAGTTGCGCGAAAGATGGCGAAACGTTGCAGAACAAAATGATGATGAACACACGATTGAACAAAGAAACATCGACGCGTAAAAAAAAACGTTCTACTTTGAATTTTCCTTAAAAATTCGTCACGAACTTTCCACGAACAACCCGGTAGAAACTGTCTCTCAGCTCGAGTTTACCAAGAGATCTTTTGCGAGGCAGCGTATTCAAACGCGACGAACGCAATCTCGCGACAACGCGCTATAATTTCCACGGGAATCCCCGGCAGACAAGAGAACGTAAACTCGATTTAAGCCGCTCTCATTCATTCCCTACCCTGGCGACGGCGGCGTCAAGCTGAGATTCTATTCCACGCAGCTTTAATGGAGCTACGCGTAGCAGAGGGAGGGGACCGACTTTCCCACGGGATAATCGTCTGAATCTTCAGTTTCAGGACTTTAGCGAGTCCTTCCAGATCCTGCATGCTGGCCGTGCTCTCAGGATCCTCAGGCTTGCGAAACTGTTGTCTCTCGTTAGGTTACTACGGTTGTCAAGACTGGTGCGGTATGTCTCGCAATGGGAAGAAGTCTATGTGAGTGTTTAACCATTGTTTTCTTTTTTTATATATATATATATATATATATATATATATATATATTAAGCACCGTATATATATATATATATATATCTTCTACATATATATATATATATTTTTTTTATTTGATATTCTATTTATATATATAGTATATAGTGTATATATATACACCTTTCATATATATAATATACCCACAGCTCGTGTGATCCTTGTACAAAAGATGTGAAAAGAAACCAAGCGTCCCGTCGTCGTGTCTTTTGTTTAATTGTCAGTTTCGAAAATTGACTGGCTCTTTCTTTTATATATATATATATATATCTATATCTATATATATCTATATTCATTTTATTTTTTTATTTTTTTTTTTTTTTATACCTTTGAAACCTCCCTATCTGGCCGCGCTGTCTGTCTGTACAGCTTTGCGTCGCCGTTCGTTGCAGTGTTTCCCTGATTTGTTCTAGGACGATGATTCGGGCCTATGGCTGGTCCCTTCGTGATATCCATTCTTTCTTCTTCTTTTTTTTTCTCTTTTTTTTTTTTTTTTTTTTTTTTTTTTTTTTTACGACGTGAAAAGTAATTCCATGTCTGAGCCACCGAGATCGCGCATAATTTATTTGACGAGCGCGTACGTGTTACGCAATCCATCGAGAATGAGGAAAACGGAAGGAGACAGCGAGATGCAACGAAAATAAGAAGATTCCTCGTGATCATTAAACTCTATACACGAGCCGTCCGATGGACTGGTTCTCCTTGACGATACGCACGCGTCATATTGCCGTTAGTAAAAATTTGTCGATTCAGTTGTCTGAAAATCACTGTTACACACACGTTCCATCCTTTTATTATTGTTGCCAGTTTTGCCAGGATAGGAGACAACACAAGCGCGCCTTTCTTTCGCAGCCTAGACGGGTCTCTTTGTAGGAACTCCAGAACCGCACTAACAATAAGTCGTTTTCATCGTATACATAGTACACTTGCATAGGCAAACTTTGATTAGCACATACAAAAAAAGAGTAATTAGAATTACTATTGATAAGAATGAATATTATCGAAATTGTTTTAACATGAAATATAAATATATTTGGGTGGTATTGTACAGTCAGTGATTCGTTTGTATATACAGAATTATGTACATGCCGAACACTACATTTTCGAGTACTCTGCGCGTAAACTCACACATGCATACGTTTGACGAATCGGTCGATTCATAAGTGTTTTTTTTTTCTTTTTTTTTTTCTCTGAAATGGTCATCCATTCAACGAGATCCACACATCCATTTCTTGGATCTGCAAATTCTCTCTTTCTCTCTCTCATTCCCTTGCTTTTTTTTATTCTTATTATCCTGTGTTTTTATAAGTCAACTGGTATTTTTTTTTTTTNTTTTTTTTGTTTTTGATTCCATTGCGCGTACTACGCGTATATGTACATATATATACGTGTCACACGGTCAGTTTTTGAAACTGTCTGCATATATCTACAGAGCATCACTGCCGCGTTTTGCCGGCCAGGATAATGTCACGTCGTACGTGACAAGCTACGTGTATATAAGCATAGCGTGTGTGTTCACCACACGGGATGGTAAAAAAAGAAAAAAAAGAAAACAGAGAAACTGAAGGTAAATGATTAAAGGAGCCCGATGCAAGTCCCTCCGATACGTTGTCTGTCAAAAGACAACCATCTGATATCATACGATACACACACACACACACATACGTACATACATACATTACACACATACATGTGTACAGACACATTCTTGCGTATCTGTACGTTTCAGTAGAAAAGTAAGAAAAGCTAATGTTATATAACACGAGAAACGTGTACAGACGTGACCGAACGAATCGAGAGAAGCTCTGATCCTGAGGAGTGGTGGATCTTCTTCTGTTTGTTTCACAGAGAGTCCCACAAACATTTCTCTGCCAGTCGATCGGTCCGATGTGTCTGGGTCGAGGTGAACTGTGCCTCGTTTACAGAGAAACGAGGAAAGAAGCTTCGCCTCGACCAATTATGTAATTCCGGGTAGAATTTTTCGTCGGGACCAGTGTTCCAGGCTCTCCCGTCTCTTCACTTTCATTTTCTTCTCTTTTGGTTTCTCTGTCATTTGTCTCTGTTTACCTTTTTTTGATTTTTTCCTTCTTTGGTTGTGATTCTCATCACATAGAACGAAACACAGCGTGTGTCTATCCTCAACCACTGCAGGGAATCCTTCCCTTTCCGGAAGGCAAACATTTTAGGTAACACGCGAGGAAACACCATATATGATTACATATATATATATATATATATACGTCTTACTTCCCAGTTCCTCGATATGTATATTTATTATACTGATCGACACAGCGTCCCCCGTGACTCTTACCCAATACCAAGTGTTCCCGTCTTTCTATCGAAGAAAGTCTCCGAAGGAGAGTCCCCAGTGCGTCTCTTCCGTACGCGATTCTCCCATTCGTACCTTCGTTTCACGATCTCTCACTCGCGTCGATCGGTGTCGTTGCGTTGCAAAATTTCCCACCGAGCCCCCTTCAACTTTGCTCGACAGCAACTCGATCGTTCGATTTGGGAAGCTTGACTAAAAACGTGGAAAATCCAATGGATTTGATCTAAAAAAAAAGGATTCAGAAGAATCGCAGTCGAACGATATTTAAAGAAACGACGATTGCTGTATCGAAAGAAAATATTTTACATTTGAAAAATGATCTCGGCCCCGCGAAAGGATCGAAACTAAATTTAAGACACTTGTAAAAGGAAATTTTCGAATTTCCTCCCCCGTACGATTACGATCGTACTTGTCCGAGCAATCAACACGTTAACAATCTCGAGACTTTCGAGTTTCCCCGAGTTTCTCTTAACGAGCTTCTTCCCAATCTCGACACAACGACGTTTCCCCGGAAACTAAGTCTCAGCAACACTGACAACAACGAAACCCATCGATCGATCGATCCCTCTCCCCCTGGTTTCTAATTTATTTTCTTTGATTCCGACGATATACGAACACCGAGGATACTCTCTCTGATGTATATACAAGCGGCACGTAAAGTCCAAGGTTCTGTATAAAATTAGAGAAAAAGAGAAAAAAGAGACACACACACACACACGCACGTACACACACGGACACTGAGCTGACGAGGGCAAGCCGTGAATCTCGATACGAAAAATCGTGTATCGTTGATGCATTCCATGTCAACGACATGGTTTCTCGAGTGTGTTTCCGGTCGGATAGGTGTTCCACCAGCCAGATCGTGTCTTGTTAGCGATAGGTAAGTAGTCTCTCTCTCTCTCTCTCTCTCTCTCTCTCTCTCTCTCTCTCTCTCTCTCTCTCTCTCTCCTTGAAACGGAATTCCTCCTCTGGCTCGATCTACTTCGTCTACATCTATTCGCGCACGTACAATTCTCGATCGGTCGTAAACGATCGGAATGGTTTTCGTACGATTGCCTCGAGGGTGGCAGCACTCGCTCGTCTGGGCCACCACGAGAGAGAGAGAATCGTGCTCCTCGGAGCCACGGATGGAAATTCGGATCGTTTCCTTCTTTGTGTGTTTAGAATGGGTCGTAGAGGAAGCGTTCTCTCCAGTCTGCTCGGAATCCGATTTGTCGTGCGGCTCAGTGAGTTTCGTTTCCGCTCTTTCTTTTTTTTTTTTCTTTTTTCCTTTCGTTCTTTCTTTTCGTTCTTTTTTTTTCTCTCTCTCTGTTCTCCGACTCATCTGCATGAAACACAACGCGGATAATCTCGTCGTAGCCAGACGAGATTAGAAATAAATGGACCTCGCGTGGCTGTTAACGCATTAGTACGCGCAAGTAACAAGCATCACACTGACGAGGAAACTAACGAAGTGACGATTGTGATCCTACGTGAGACACAATACTAACTGCGATCAAAGATGATACGTAACGTTCACGCTGGTGAATCAGAAATCACTTTCACTGGACGAACAAGGAAAAACTCTCGCCAGTGTCTCGTACGTAATCTGCGAAGTGAAAACGTAATGGGGAGGAACACGAAGCTGATGGGAACGTATCGAGGAATACGTCAGCGTGATGGGGTATACATGTGAAGGATGTGTCGAAGTTTCCAGACGAGCATTCTGTCCGAACTGTCACACACGTCTTTCCCTTTTATATATATATATATATATATATATATATATATGTGTGTGTGTGTGTGTGTATATTTTTTTCTTCTTTCCTTATACACTCAGTAACTCACGAAAATATTCGAACATTTGCCGTAGAACTATCGCGAAATTATGCAAACGCCTGTTTTCTACGACGAAGCCGTAGTACGACTTGTAAAATTTAGAATCCACGAATGTGTACTGAAAAATATTAAGACACGAATATAGTAGAATTAACGTAGAATAAAATTAACAAGTAATGACGTTGATCGTACAACTGATTGAAAATGGGGATCCCCACGGACTGTCGAGTATCAAAACGTTTCGTACGATATTAATTCATAAATAGGCGTTCTCGCAGATATTCGAATACGATCGATGAACTACTATGAACAATGGACACGTCTCGGTATCTGTATTCACGTATGATTCTATTTCTCAAAGTCCTCTCTGTGTCAGTTTGATTGTGTCTTGCCTTTAGCGTGAGCCGTGGCGCAGCGAACAGACCAACGAATCAATCAGGTTTTCTGTCCAATCTCGAGAGAGAGCAACCTTTCTTTTTCTTCTTTTTTTTTTTTTCTTTTTTTTATTCTTCTTCTTGCCGTCGTAACTATACGTCTGAATGTTATTTGCGCTTGCAAAACGTTTGAGAAACATCTTGTTGCCCCTCCCTCTGCTTCTGTTTTATCTAGGTTCCCTGATCTCTTATCCGTTCTGTTCGACGAGAGCCAGATATTCGCCGAGGCGGGCTTGCGGGTTCGCGGTGGTTTGATCGCCGATCCAATCACCGTCAGAGTCTCGCAATCAGGCCATCCTGTAATCTTCTTAGCTTCAGATGAAAAAAAAAGAAAAGGCGTTGCTCGACTTTAGAAAAATCGTGTCGCGATCGAAACGCCGACATCGCGGCAATTCCGTCTTTTCCTTTCCCTTGTTTTCTTTTTTTCTTTTTTTTCTTTTTCTTTTCTTTCTTTCCTTTTCGTTCGAATCGTCGTGACTCTGACGCCGAGAGAGGATTCGTGTGCTTTCTATGCTCTATTTCAAAGAAGGTTTTAAAGAAATAGTTTTGTATATTCAGATCTTTTCGCGTGATAAAACTGTCTTGATATACTGTGAAATTGTAAAAATGTTAAAGAGTCTGTAAATTTTTAATATTCCAAGAAGTTGGATATCACTCGAGATATTCGAAAATTCGAAAATTCTCGAAAAATTTCGAGGCTTCTGAGAAATTCTAATATTCCAGGAAATTCGAGAAATATAAATATAAAGGTTCTGAGAGTTTGAAAAATTTTAACATTCCAAGAAATTCGATACCTCTCGAAATATATTCGAAAATTCGATGCTTCTGAGAAATTTTAATACTCCAAGAAATATTCGAGAAATATAAATATAAAGGTTCTGAAAAATTTTAATATTCCAAGAAATTCGATACTTCTCGAAATATTCGAAAATTCAACAATTGAAAAATTCGAAAATTCTCGAAAAATTTGACGCTTCTGAGAAATTTTAATACTCCAAGAAATATTCGAGAAATATAAATATAAAGGTTCTGAAAAATTTTAATATTCCAAGAAATTCGATACTTCTCGAAATATTCGAAAATTCAACAATTGAAAAATTCGAAAATTCTCGAAAAATTTGACGCTTCTGAGAAATTTTAATACTCCAAGAAATATTCGAGAAATATAAATATAAAGGTTCTGAAAAATTTTAATATTCCAAGAAATTCGATACTTCTCGAAATATTCAAAAATTCAACAATTCAAAAATTCGAAAATTCTCGAAAAATTCGATGCTTCTGAGAAATTTTAATACTCCAAGAAATATTCGAGAAATATAAATATAAAGGTTCTGAAAAATTTTAATATTCCAAGAAATTCGATACTTCTCCAAATATTCGAAATATTCGAAAATTCTCGAAAAATTTGATGCTTCTGAGAAATTTTAATATTCCAAGAAATTCGAAAGATATAAATTTCTAAGCAAAACGAAATTATTCTAACTGTAGATTCCGAAGTTGGCGAGTATCGATGCATTCGAAATGAATCACAGTTCACGAGGCGTGTGTACGTGATGTCGATACGAAAAGATTGAAAGTGCACGAAGCCTGTACACGTCGCGAAACTTCGTTAATGAGAAAGGATCGTCTGTCGGGAAATTCGTTTGAACGATAAAATCGCGATCAGTTTCAAGGATAGAAAACCGAGGAAATGAGCGGCCGGTAATTTCCTTAATTAACGTCGTTCGCGCTGTCACTGTATTAAAATCGAATCGTCTTCGACTCTATCTCGAGGCTGAATCGACCCCAGCAGCTCCGGTTTTAACGAGCTCTAAAGAAACGTAGGAAATTGCTGACCACCGGTGATCAAAATCATCTTGACATTTAAAAGAGAATGTGAACAATTCAATTATGAATCTCATCATTCTCACTCGATCATCTTGGACACCTGTAGTGAATCTAATTCTTTTTATCTTGATAAAAAAAAAAAGAAACGGTTCGTTTCAATTCTGAGTTAAAATTATCTTTGGAATATTTCTGACCAAATAACTTCATCTCAGTGTCCAAAAATTGTATTTAGAATAGAGAATTTGTAGAAATCGTCAGATCGTTCAGTGAATTACGAGTCGCTACGAATTCTACTCTACGCTATTTAATGTGATCTTTACAAATAAATAAAAGAAAAGACACTACTACAGATGTCCTCAACCATTAATTTGATAGTGTTGGATCGTAAGTGACGAGAATATTTTAAATTTGTCACTTTAATTCAAATTGTCGAACAAAGTGGTTTAAAATCAAGTTGTTACAAGTCACTTACGATCCAACGATACACCATTTAGCTGCAGTTAATGACACCAAACGTCAACTATCGTTAAATCACGTGATTAATGTCGGTCACGTCGAAATTCGACTTCGCAAGCCAGCAGTCCAGAATTTCTGGAACGACGGTTCGAGAACGTCGACGTGTTCCATTTCTGTTAATTCGTGGGAAATGCAACCGTTCCACGAAGACGTCAGATTGTTCCGACACACGTCGTTTCCCCGAAAATCAGGCGATTTCGTGGGAGCCGGTGCCGCAGAGTGGGAAATGTTGCAGAGAGAGAACGGATCGCAGGGCCATTTCCACGAATGATTCTTCCGTGTATCTTGGTCGTGCAAGCAGCGTCGGGTTTGGATTAGCTAAAAACGGCACTGTCTAATGATACACGACACACTTGGGCGTACTTAAAGCTGATTTACAACGACGTACTACCCAGTTCAGTTACCCCTCTGGGGATTAACTGCGGATTTAGACTTTAGGCTCCGATTCACGGGGAATGGTCCAGCCACGACGAGTTCACGGTCGCTCGGGTGTTACACGATCCTCTTAGCTGAGTTTGAAAGCGAATTTTCACCCTGAATAGGACGAGTGAAACCGATCGAGAATGGATTCTTCCTTTTTTTTTTTTTTTTTTTATTCTCTCGTCGAGCGCGAACATACGTTTGAACTGTATTTAATCGTAGTTGAGCGCGAGAGATGGTGGCAGGCTCTTAAAATATTTTGCGACGATGTTTCACCTTTTAAAATTTTCCACTTTTCTTTCGTTTTAGCTTTCGTTGTTTGACTTTCAAGCAATTTTTCTATCGAACTTCTTCGAGACTGGGCCATTCGTCAGTTCAATTTCGCAGCTAACTGTTTTATTTATTAATAGAAAAAGGCAAAAGAAACTCGATGACGAAAGAATTGATGATTGTCTTTACCTCGCAAACTCTTCCAAAAAAAACACAACCCAAGACACGCAGAGAGAAAGAGAAAAAAAAATTTTAAAAAGAAACACTCAAAAAAAGATAAATAAGACAAGTAAAAAAAAAAAAAAATATTTTAAAAATGCAAGTAGTAGGCGTATTGCGAGAACACGTTTCCGAATGGGTTTGCAGATCCCCCTTTATCAACAGCCGGAGAGGCACTACGAGCGTCGGGCGACACCGCCCCAACCAGACCGAACCAGCAAGGTGTGCCTGCCTAGTAACCCCGAAACCAAGGCCAAATGCCCTTTCTTGATTCAAGCGTTCGTTAACTTAAAACTTAATGTTTCTACGTATATAAATATAAATACATATATATATATATATACATATATATACATATATACATGCACGCACACCCACATACATACAAACACACACACACACACACACGTTAGATCAGTACGTATAATATATCTACCTATATATATATATAGGTAGATATATTATAGCTATATATATATAGTGAATTTTTGTTACGATTATTGAGTATCGTTACGATGTTTATTATGATCGTTTTTTGATTGACGATTGATTATTCGTTGTCGTTTGGTTTGGAAGTTTTCTATATACATATTATAGAGAGAACGTTTTCATAGTCTTGCCGTGTGATCTTCATTTTTGGTCTTTTTTTTTTTTCTTTCTTTCTTTCTTTCTTTCTTCCAATTTTGTTCCTTCAGTTTGTATAGTATCGAAGGTATCGACTTGTTTGATACACCATACACCACGCCTTATAACGATACATATACGTACATGCCATACAGAGTTTTACACACGTATAATATATATCTATATATATATAAAATATATATGCAAAGTTTTAGATCTCCCGATCTTTTTGTCTCAAAAAAAAAAAAATAATAATAATAAAGAAAGCAAAGCCGATCAAGAGCTTTCTTACACAGCGTGGCTGTATCGTGATCGATTCTTTTTCATTTATTTCGACTTTCGTTCAGTCAGTTCGGAAATTCGAAAAATTCAGTTCTGTTCCTTTCTTTTTCGTTTGATTTGTTTGACGTGTTGTCTCTCGATTTTGTTGTTGGTTCGTTTCTTTAGTTTCGTTTCTTAGAGATCGATGTTGTTGCACGCACATAGAGGTGTGATGACATGACGTGATGAATGAGATATATGATAGAGGATAGACGAATTTCGTTCTGTTCGTTTCTGTGTCTATGTCTTGCATCGTGACAGATTTCTTGACATGCGCCCGATGTTGCATAGTACATATACAATACGAATTTAATTAAAATCGCCGGGAACGAAGTGTTGTCTCTGTGTGTGTGGATGGTCCCGTGAGCGCGCGTGAAGTGTAGAAAGCGTGTCGAGAGGCGAAACACACGTGAGAGAGAAACACACCGAGTCAGAGATATCAACCTTAGACGTTGACGAAGCTCTCTTGTTTCGCTCCCACCCCACCCCCCTCCATCGTTTCAATTTACGCGAAACAAGCTCTTGATCCGGCTAGCACATAGTCCCGTAGTCTAACCGATACAAAGTGTCACATGGATCACGTAGCACGTATGAGTCGAATTTTTTTCAAAACGAACAAAGATATACATCCGGAAAGGCCAAGTATCCATGTTACACCGATCTAGCTCGATCCTTGTGAAAGTTGTTGGGAACGATTTGGTATGACATTGGTTTTGTCATGTATATATATATATATATTTTTTTTTTTTTTTGTTCCCTGTCGAATCTTGTTGGAAAGATCCGTTCAGCTGTTAGGTACTTAACGTACGTTTCGTTTTTAATGTATAGTTGCCGAGTCGTGTCGAATACCTGTCGTGGAAGTATCTCTTGATCGTCGTCGTGTCTCTCGTATTCCAATTACAGGCAATTTTCGTAACTGAAGCACTGACTGTATGAAGAGACACCACGATGATTAAGAATCAAGAATGGAAAAAAAAGAAATCTCCCCTTCGAAGTAATAACGATTCGAGTTACGAGAAATGAAAGGCCGAATAAAGGCCGAATGGAGGAAACGAAAATGAAAAAAGAAGAAGACAAAAGATAGTGCGCGGGACAATGGGGAGACGCTGAGGTATTCGACACGGCGCGCTATCTACATGGCTGCTCTACTGACGAGAAAGTTGGTTGGATTGATCGTAGGTCTGCCTGTGAGTGTTAGGTGTATATTAACCCCACTTGCCCGAACATTTTTTTTGCCGATGTGCCCGTGTTCAGTGTGTACTACCCACATTTTGTTTCTCCTTTCAGCCCTACATACTCATACCTAAGAACCTATCGTTCAGCCTACTGTGTACCTACTCTTTGGTATACCGCCCAAGCAAATTTCTCTATGATCCAGTTGAACGTCTCGTCACCCCACGTTTGCGTTTTGCTTGCTGTTCTGTGTCGTTTAGATGCCTGATTTTTCCCCAGAGTTTGACAAGGTCTCTAAACGTGTTTTGCTCCCCCCCCCCCCTCTCCTTTTCTTTGCCTCACCCCTTTTCCTTTCCCTCTCGCGTTGCTTTAGTTTTCAGTTTCAGTTTCGTGGACGTTGTCTTCGCCTGTCTCGCGACATCAGCCAAGAGAAGACAACGATGGATAGTTGTCGCGTCGTAGATCGATAGAAATTTCATTTTGATCCTAGTTCTTTTCTATCCTCGACGAAGAAGCAGTATGCGGCTGTACTCGACGATCGATCGATATCTCCTCGTTGTTGCGCGCCAACAAACAGCCCGTGCCCCGACATCCGGAATAGTTGTCCCAACCAGCCTGCTGTTTTTTTCTCGAAACGCCTTTGTCGACCTATCGAACCTGTTTGTTTGATCCTTTTTGTTCCCCTCTCCCTTTTTTCCTCTGTCTGTTTCGTGGGAATGCCGTTCGTCGATCGATTCGATCTCTTCAGGAGAAGACGATCTTGAAAAACCACGGAGAAGGATACGGACAAAGTGTACGCATTTATAAGCAAAGGGAACGTTTTATTTTGAGAGGATCACTTTGCAAACGTTCTCGTCTCTGTACAACCTCCTTCGGTTCGAGATTCGAACGGTCGAAAGAATCTCGAAATTCGAAAGAAAAGGTTTTCTTCCACGACTAAGAATATTCTCTTTACTTTCGAGAATATTCTCGCAAACTCGACTCGTCCCAGCTCTTCGAGGATCACGCGTTTCAATTTAACTTCCGAGTGGTGGCCAGCGACCGCAGAGACTCGAAAATCCTGACCGAAATTGAATCTTGGGGAACGATTAATCGCAACTGTCGCTGGGAAGGTGACAAATTGCGAGAGACTCGCGCTAATCTCCCTTTCGTTCGTTGATTTCCATTGCGTTGCAAATCCAACCGAAGGGACACAGTTACGACGACTGTTGTTCCCGCGATTCTCTGTATTTCTCTTCGAACACGAAAGTTTCATTCCGTTCCAGAGCCGCTGCAAAGAAAACGAGAGCAAATTTCATCAGGTACTGATCAATCACTCGATCGTTCTTTCTCCTCTTTTTCGTTTCGTTCTCATTTCGATCGTATTCTGCGATGGTTTCTGTTTCGTTTTCCCATGGTTTTCTGCGCTCTCGACGTTTTTTCGCTTCATCACTTCGTTATCGACGGTCACTTGGAGGTCACAAGGAAATAGAACCGAACAGAGTTCAACTGTGATCGTGAAACGATGTTCTTTAAGTTCACACACTGGTAAACGAAACTTTCTTTGTTATGTATATATACGTATACTTTCTGTGCACGAACAACGAGATGCGTGACTCGATTGAACTATTGTACATACACAGATCGAGAACAGAGAAGTTGTGGAGATTTAAATGAGGCCAATAAAGATGAGTTACGAACAGACCTGAATGAACTGAATTCTGTTCAACACTTCTCGATTATCGCGACGAATTTTATTAATTCCTCCACCTTTTCCACCCGATCCCTTTACCCGATCCCTTTTTAACAAGAGATCACCAATATTCGTACACTTGTTTCTTATTTTCCCGAGCAAGATTCTCAAGCCTTTGAAACTAAACACCTTTGAAGCTAATCTATGATCGACAATGTGCGATGGAAGTGAGAAAAGTGGAAAATCGAGAGATTTTTCCTGCTTCGTCGTACGAGGGCTCCTCACTGACCGAAATAGCACACCGAACTTTTGCTACAAACCGCTGAAAGAAGGCGAAAGAGATTTGAAAAAAAAAACAAAAAAGCAAAAAAAGAGAAAGGAACAACAATCGATCTTTCGAGCCTTTTTATTACGAGCTTTTAACAAGAAACTGCGGCTTCACGCTTGACGCGACTGCTGCAACGAAAGCTTTTGATACTAAACGAATGGCTTCTTGAACTCTTACTTCTCTTTAACTCACGAAACTCATCAACTCTCTCTCTCTCTCTTTCTTTCTCTCTGTCTCTCTCTTTCTTTCTCTCTTCTTATATATATATATATATACTGGTCATCACTATATTTATCCCTGTTATTATCATTCTTGTCTTATCACTATTATTTCCATTGTTACTGATTATTATTGATTATGTGCTGTTTTACGGCCAGTCTGTGCATCATTTGTTCTCCACGCCGTACTTTTCGATCCACAATTCAGCGAATCCAAACTCATCATTGCGCGTTCTGCACAATCCGGACTTGCGTCGATCACTCGCCGATCGCGAGTAACAAGGAAATAAGAAAAGGGATGAAACGACACGTTTGCGAGCGTGTCGAGGAGAAAGAACACACGTAGACGAGCGAACGAAACAAATGAAACACGAAACACCCCACTTGTTTTAACTACAACACGACACCTTTTTATATTTGTTTTCTTCCACCACCACCACCACCACCACCACCACCACCCCTTCTTCGATCGCGACTGCACGAATCAACGTTCGAGAAGAGGATGGACGAACGCGCAGCGATTCTCGTCGGAAACTCGTACCCAAATCGACTCGAAACCAAAGTGTCGTTGGTACAAATGCATTTACGATCTTCACGCGAGATCAGTACGTTTTATCTGCGAGAGAACTTGGAGGAGACGAAAGATCGCGCGTCGCTCTCGTCGATCGCGATCTGTGCTGACCAGCCCGCAAATACCGACGATTGAGTCACGATTGAAACGAGCGAACGACGCGACGAGTGGATCTCGATGTTACGTTTCTTTTTTTTTTTTTTTTTTCTTTTTTTTCAGTCTTTTTCTTTCTAGGGACAGCGTCGTTCCACTCGTGTGTTCCACTCTACCCCCTCTCACCCCCACTTCTCTCGTTTTTGTCGACAAGAAAGCGCCCCTTTCACGGGATACATTTTGCTCCGATGAGAGAACGAAACGAACGAAACTGCGTACGAGGATGTGCAAAGGAAAAAGAGAAAGGCAAGAAGGAAAGAAAACAGCAACAACAAACAAAAAGATACAAGAAAGAACAAGGAACTCGAACTCCTAAAACCGATCTTGCTCCTTCTGTTTTCTGCTCCCTCTCTTCTCTCTCTCTCTCTCTCTCTCTCTCTCTTTCTCTCTCTCTCTTTCTCACACAATATTTATGTGTATATATATATATATTTCTGTCTCTGTTTCTGTTTCTTTCTAAATACTGTACAGTAAAACAACAAAAATGTGTGACGAGTACAAAGGGAAGAAAAAAAAAAAAAGGAAAATTGACGAAATCTTTCGTTCACCGCCGCCATTTCGACGACGTTACTTTTACTTCTTTTCTCTGTCTTTTTACGTTTCTCTTTTTTTCTCACTATCTATCTATCTATCTATTTGTCTATCTTTTCTCTCTCTCTCTCTCTTTCTCTCTCTTTCTCTCTCTCTCTCTCTCTCTCTCTCTCTCTCTCTGTTTATCTCTTTATTACGAATCTTCTTGATAACCTGGCCCTTCTCTTACTACGTCTTGCTATGTCCCGCTTTCTTTTGTTTCTAGATATTGCAGAACCTACAAAAAAAACGCACTGAGCGGAGGGGGCGCCTAAGTTCTGACAATATGAGTAAAAAGAAGTCCGGTTTCAGCAAAAGCGACCTTATTTTTAAGGTAACCCGCCCTTAACGAATGCGCGAGCTCGCGTCCGCTCGAAGGTTCGCGATCGTGCTCGCCGAACCCGCCTCGAGACCACCTTTTTGGGTCCCGTTTTCACGAGACTCGAGCGAACCACGCCGACTCTGTCTATCCCACCCCGTGTGATATGTTCTTCACCCGAACCGAAACGACCGAGCGAAACGACGGAGTCTTTTTTAACCGAGAGAACGAACGAGTATAGTCACGCTAAAATCACAAAATCCTTCCCCGAATATTTGCAATTTGACGAACAGAAAATCGGGTATACGCTTAGGAAAAAGAAACAGAAAAAAAAAAAAAAAACGGAAAAACAATACACGAAAACCAACTGGAAGAATCGCTCTCACGATTGTCGTGAGAGTAAGAAAAAAAAAGAAAAAAAAAAAAAAAAAAAAAAGAACTGAATAAAGGAGGAGACTAAAGAAGAAGAGTCAGCAGTGTGTCGTTCGATCGATGTCTCGCGAAGAACAGGAAGAGCGATCACGAGGAAGCTGGACGCAAGAGCTGTACGCTGATTGGCTCGTTGGTTTATTACAAACATTCGCTTCTACTATCCGCCGCATTATACATTACATATTACCCGCAGCAATAGGCTATGCTTCTTATACATTCACCATCGGCACCCCGCCTAGCGATGAGAAAGTACCAAAAGTGTATCTTATCATTCCTATATATGTGTATATACATATATATATATGTGTATCTAAAGCTATATATATATACATAGATACATACATATGTATGTTATGTGTGACGTGTTACTATATATACCGTGTTTTAGAAAAAAGTTCGCCGTGCAAAAGCAAAAAAGAAGAAAATATTGCACATAGAGAGATAAAAAAAACGTGGAAAAATCTTCGTTTTTATCGAGACGATCTCTATGTCGTCTTGTTACATCCAAGTTTTGTGCTCGTCTCCGTGCGTGAAATCAACCAAAAAAAAAAAAAAAAAAAAGTAATAAAAACTAAGAAAAAATAAAAGCAGATGTCTTAGAGATGTAATCGTCTACTCGTGGATCCCTCCTCTCTTCTTCTCTCTGTCTATGTTTTCTGTCTGTCTGTCTGTCTCTTTAAATCTTTCTCTTGTCTGTCTGCCTGTCTGTCTATCTATCTATCTGTCTGTCTGTCTGTCTCTCTCTCTCTCTTTCTGTCTCACGATCTCTCTGTCTGATCCACCTGATTTTTATTACGTGTGTGTATATATTCCCTTCCAATTCTCCGCGAATTTTTCACCGAGAGAAAAAAAAAAAAAAGGATTCGAAAGTCTTTGTCTTATTTCTTTCCACCTGGATAGATCAGTCTGTCTCTGTATTTCTCTCTGATCCCTTCCTGATCCAAGAAAAAAAAAAAAGTCCAATCGTCGCACGATCAGCGCGCATGTGTGTCCCGCGAGGACTTTCTCAACGCTCCTCGAAGACGATCCCCCAGTTCCATGGGAACACGGTTGATCCGACGAGCCACAAGAACAGACTCGGCGCGCACTCTTTGTATACGATTGCCAAGAAAAGCCCGCTGTTCCGCGCACTGTTCTCTCGAGAGAAAAAGAATATTAAAAAAAAAAAAAAAAAGAAAAGAAAAAGAGAAGAACGCTTTTTTGATCGCTAGACGGTGTGCACGATCCTTTGGAAACGAGCGCACGTTGATTGGGCGTCCCTTCTCTGTCGCTTTGTTGCAAAATCGCACACTGTTTGCCCGCTGTTTAGCGATGGGCGGTCGACTCTCTCCGCGAGACTCTCCCCGCGCGACGTTGCGTTGAAACTCGCTTTGGATGTTCGCCCGGGGGACGTTGGGCATCCGGGGGATATACGGTGAAAAGTCTCTAGCCTTCGGGGTCACGAAGGATTCGCCGAGTGTTTCGAGGAACCGTAAGACCTTACGTCACCATGGAACACACGTATTATCCTTCTCACTAGGGTAGGCCTAGGCTATCGAGATCGAGCCATGTCGTTACAATGTTACGATAATTGTGTCCTCGAAAGTTTTTTTTTTTTTTTTTTGTTTTGTGTTAAATTAGCGGGAAACGTAACACCTGGTGGTCATATAGTCTGCAGAGTCTGACGAATTTGAAGAGAGAAACGTAGATGACAAAGAAAGTATGTAGTGGTAGAGCAGTAGAAGGTAGAAAGACAGATCGTCATTATTTCTGCTTAGAGTAAGCTAACTAATTGTTATTTAAATGTGTGCCACAAATTCTCGTTGTTAATCGTCACCAATTGTAATTGTAGCACTTTCTTTTCAGATGTAGCGAAACCGTGCGATTAATACCGTAGGTAACGTTCAAACAAATATTCTTTGCCCAACTACCAACCTTGACACTTGTTCTTAATGAGCCCGAATAGTTTCGCAGACGGTGGACTAATTAAGCATTCTTTCAGTAAAACGCGTTCGACCACGAATGATAATCGAATTTTGTACCTCCTGTAAGTATCTTCCTATTTTAACTTAAGTGTCCCACGAGAAGAAAAAAAAAAAAAGAAAAACGAAAAATAAAATCAGGAATTGTTTCTTTCTGTACTCTAATCTCTATCTACGAATATTTCTTCGTACGACTCTTGTGCTTGGAGTTTTTTCATAGACTTATAGAAGCGACTTATAATCTCGAGACTAGACAATCACTCGTGATATCGATATCGAGCCGCAGCCAATCGTCTCGAGAACCTAATCAGCCCCCCCGAAGAGCATCACCCGCCCCCCCGGTGTGTCCCCCCGCTACCCAGCGTTTCTACGAGGCTGTAGAAACCGCTGCTCTTTTCTTTTTCCTAGATGAGTAACGAAAACGGAGATGAAACGAACCAGGAAAGAAAAAAAAAAAAAAAGGAAACGGAATAACAATTAGGGCGCATTGTATGAGAGTAGAGAGCTCGCTACCCCTGCCACTGCTCTGCGAACCGACCTTCACCATCTCTCGCCTCTTCTCTCTGTTCTCCACAGCCCCTTCAGCCTCTGTTGCTTCTCAGCCAAGACACGAAAAAAAAAAAAAGAAAAAATGAAATACATGCACCCCTTTGTGATTCTACTGGCTGGCTATCTGTTGTGTGGCTGCAAGCAGGCGCAGAGAAACAGAAAAGATCGTAGTGGAAAAAAAAAAGAAATATATAGAGAAATAAAAAAAAAAAGATGTAGAGGAAACACAGGAAAAAAAAAAACAAGAAAATGAAACGATAGCGAGAGGAAGAGGTGGCTTGCTTCTCGTTGCTTAGAGCCTGGCTTTTTCGCCGCTTGATGATTATTTGACTTGGCAGCTGGCGTTTCTTTTACGTTCTCTGTCTCTGTCTCTCTCTCTCACACACACTCTCTCTCTTTCTCTTTCTCTCTCTTTCTCTTTCTCTCTTTCTCTCTTTTTCTATCTTATTCTCTCTGTCTCTCTCTCACTCTACGTCTCTCTTTCTCTCTGTGTGTTCCTCCTTTTTTTTCGTTTTCTTTCATTTTCTTTTTTTTTTTCTTCCTTTTTTCGCTTTTCCGTTCCACGCGATTTTCTGCTCCGTCAGTTCACCACGTTCCTTTATTCTTCTCCCCCCTTCCCCATTTTTTTTCATTTTCGACTTTTTTTCTTTCTTTTCGGTACAATCGATCCTGCCTTTCGCCATTTTCTTTTTTTCCTTTAATTTCGTTGCGAACTTTTGGTTTCGTTCTTTCGTTCTGACGGGTGTCAAATCGCGATCGCGATTTAGCCATCCGGACTAAAGTCCAGTGGAGCGAGTTCAGTCCCGATTTGACGATCGGTCAATCGCCCGCCTTCGTCTCACAGCGTCAGTTTTTTTTCTTATTTTTGCTCTTTCTCTTGTTCTTTCGTTTGTTCGAATCCTCCTTCCCCTTTTTGTTCTTTTCTCTCCCCCCCCCCCCCTCGTTCTCTCTTTCAGTTTGTTCGTTGTGTTGTTTCTTTTTCGTCTCTTGTCTCTTGGTTTCTGTGTTCGTTTGAATTTCGTTGAATTAGTAACGCTGTTGCCACACCTGTACGCGGCGCGCGCGCGCGTCCACAGGTGCGCCCCGCTCCAAGTGCCTGGAGGATCCTCTGTGTGAAGGAGGCGCATCCTGTGTCGAGCCACGCGCACGGGTCGCGTACTTGTACAATATATACAACAAACTGCCATATCGTTACTTGTACTTTTTGACCATTTGATGATCATTTAGCTGTTCATTTTATTACCAATGAAGAGTTGTGTTACGACAAACGCTTTCGTCTTTTTTAAATGGACTTGTGACTGTCTCTTGTAGAACAGAAGGTTGGATGTTCACTTTTTTAATTCAGTGTATATGTATATGTATATCGTTCCTTTGTTCGTTTGTGTCTCGTTAACTTTTTTTTTCCCCCTCCCCCATTTTTCGTCTATTTCCTTTTCTTTCTTTTTTGTCTTTCTTTTGTTCTCTGAATGATTCGAACCATGCGTATGCATATCCACTATGCGCGCGCTCCCATGCGTGAATAGTATATACACGTATGCCCGAGCACACGTGCATTGTCACATACACACAGGTGTGTATATACTGGAGCATACGTTATGCGTGACAACGCAACAAATGCAACGAGTAAGCTAAGCGAAAAGAAAAGAAAACAAAGAAAAATTAAAAAAAAGAGGAGAGAAAAAAAAGAAAAAGAAACGATAAAGCGCCATACTCTTCGGTCGTGTGTCGTTGTGTGTCCACGTGTCCCACGTGTCTCCATGTCGTGTGTAGCGCGTATGTGTACCGCATGAACTATATATATACATATATATATATATATATGTATATATATAATGTTTGTTAGTTTGTTCCTTTATTTGTTTCGTTGTTTTCTTGTTTTCTTTTTAATGCCAGGTAATGTATTGAAACTAGTTGTGGTCTAGCAGTAAGTCTTTTTTCATCGCCCAGTTTTGTTTCTCTTTTTTTTCTTCTTTTTTTTCTCTCTCTCTCTCTCTTTTTCAACCCGTACTTTGTCCAGTAGGCGCAGAGAAACAATACACTGTGACTTATCACAGCCATCATGGATACCATCGTCACGACGATAATAGCGACACGCGCCGTTTCCGTTCTAACAGCCGGATTAGTTGGCCGGATTCTGGCGCGCTTTTGCGCCGAGATCGAGCGACGCGATTCCGGGATTCCTTTCTCAGAGTCCGGGGATCGTGGCGAGACATTATGGAACGTCACGGACCGCCATCGAGGCGGCGGTCGTTACGCGTTCTATCGCTTACGCTTCTTGTCGCGTCGGAAACAGGCAATCGGAACAGACGAGAGATCGAAATTCCGGCGTTCCTTTGATCCGGACGCGATTCCCATTCGCCACTCGATTTCGCGTTTGGCGATACACACGCGCCGCGATCACCCGATATTCGGACAAACGCGCTTTTGATTTATCGCTCGCTGGTGTCCCGTTACACCGTCATTGAGACGTCTCTGTGTAATGACACACGCTATCTGTGGAATCGACGGTAATCTCCCAACGAAATTTACGTTATATCGCGATCATCTCTCTCTCTCTCTCTCTCTCTCTCTTTCGAGGGGAATGTAGTTTCATGGTTTTTATATTAGATAGCTACCCATGAGTAATGTCTAATTTGTTTGATACCGTAACAAAATTTTATTTTACACAAGAGTCAATTGTTTTGATCTATAATGTAATTTAACAGTAAGCATAATAACATTCAACGTCAGTATGTTTAACTAGAATATAAGTTATGTTACAATAAGTCAAATTATTGCCACTGCCAATTGGCAATGTTCATTAAATTCGAAGAAAATTTACAGACGTCACTCATGGGCAATATGTGTATAAATACGCTTTCTCATTTTCCAGATCGAAACCAAAAGAAAGATTGATCATTCCGCGAATCGTTTGTCGAAGCACGATCGATTACGTGCCGTTGCAATCTCGCGCGAGCACGTAATACATACTTTCAACAGAACTCAATCGATCACGTACGAAACGTAGTACTACGTTCCTTGCGTGGCAGAATTTTGTTACGTAATTCGACGTAATTCATTCCTTGCGGATTGACGTTCGCGTAGCACCGTCGTCTTCAATAACAGGAGATGAATCACCGTCGCCCGCAACATCGGGCATTGCTACATGTGTAGAAAGACGCGATCACTGATCGGGAAATCGTAAGTCGATGACGAGGTAAGTCGAAGGGAATCGATAACAAGTCGGGGATTTCTCGAGTGGAACGAATAATTTACCCGCCACGTAGCACGTAAACTTGTTTTTACGATATCTACCGTAGTACTACGTTCTCCAACCATTCCAAACTACGAACGACACGTAATTCTTCACATTCGTAATGCGTGGATATTCCAGGTTGTAAAATCACGCGTCACGATGTTGCGTCGTTTTGCAAAATCTTTATTTCCAATTACAATGTTCTGCACGTTGTCGTCAAACGTCAGTTGAAGATCACACGGCACACATAATTGTACAGGTTTGTCGGGCGTAGTGGAACAAACCGCAGAGTACATACGATGTCGCGATTATTTATGTCACAGCGTAAATCGTAGTTCCGTGGCAGAACCACGCAGGATTTTATCATGCCCGGCCGCGAATTCATCGAGTAATCGACAACTTCGTGGAACAATTGCAAACCACGTTACACACGTGCAAGCACACAATGCGAGCACTTACACCGCGAACGCTAATGGCTAACCTGTCACTCGATAACGAGACAAAAGACACACCAAGCAAACAAACACTACGTATTTACGCTACGATAAAAATCTCCCCGCGCAGTTGCAAACAATCCAACATTTAACCGTCAGCCGTACGACGAAACAAAGAGCGTAACAACGCTTGTCCACATCATTTCCTATCTGACCCAACTAAATACCGAAAATAATCAGTGTCAGGCATCTGGCACGAAGGAAGTGCTGCCAAGTCCCTCCGCCACGTTCCACTTCCTGCGTCTCGAGTTTCGCGCTTAATTCTCCCGGAACGATCCTCGGTACTCTCGATTACCACAGATAGCGTGTCCCGATGCGATCTCGTCGAGCCGTTTAGGCGAAGATCGGGCAACTTTGGAAAACCGGGCCCGAAACATTAGAATTGGAGCAACAACAGCTCTGTTGGCTGAATATCGGGCCGTTGGCGGTCTGTAAATTGGAAAAGTTGTTGTCGAGATTTGGAGCCGGGTCGGAGATCGTTTGACCCCGCGGTTCGAAACGTTGCGCGCGCGCCAGTGTTTTACGTGTGCTGTACATACACACGATACGCACAATCATCGAGCCCCCTGAAACTCTCGATCCTTAGACTCTAGCCCCCCTGGATCGATTCGGAGCCCGCGGAGAGCACTCTCAGAGAGCCAAACGAATTAATTTGCCAAACGAAATTTCTCCGAACGCTTCTCATGTTCTCTCCGCCCTCCCTCTCCTCATTTTTTATTTTCTTTTTTTTATTTCATTGCTACTGTTTCCATCTGATTCTCGGTTTTCAGCTTGATTTTAGGTCACCAGGATTTCGAGGGGGAAAACTGAACCGAATTTTTTTTTTTTTTCGAAGGACGAGCATACACACACACTGTGCTCGTTTCTAACACCACAGTGGAACTTCCTTTTACCTGTCCCGCCCATGGATTACGAGCCACTGCTAGTAGAAATCTTGACTGCGCACTCGTGCTCGTCCGGGTTAATTGGTTTAATTCTTTCCGCGCCCGGAGAAATGGTCTCTCTCTCTTTTTTTTTTTTTAAGATTGTACGATACAACTGCAGTTGACGTTCCGACGAAGAGTTTTAAGATTTGAAAAAGAGAGAGAGAGAGAGAGAGAGAAATGGACAACGGCGTGATTATTCGCTTATTACATGGTTCAACGAAGTTCCATCGTATTTAAAAAAAAAGAAAAAAATTTCAGACTCGTGGAAAACCTCGTTTCGCGAATGAAAACAGACGACGCGGTTAACCGCTCGCGAATAAAGCGAAATACACGCGTCGATTCTTTAACGATCGTAAATAATTCTCCGCGCGTGATAGGAAAAACGCGTCCGGCACGAGTTCGTTCCCGTTTCTGAAATTCAAATCGCGCACCGTCGAAGATCCGGGACGGGTCGAATTGCATGAATAATTCGATAAACGTTACTCTCTCGTGCGTCGAAATTGCGACGTGGTGCGCATCGTTTCCGATAGAAAAAGAGAGAGAGAGAGAGAGACAGAGAGAAAAAAGGAAGAAGGTGAAGAAGAATCGGCCCGCGTTCGTTCAACGCGATTCATTTTATTTTTCTTCTCTCTGGTGCCAATGTATCTTTGATCAGTTTCGGTAATCGGTGCATCGATCGATCTTTCGATTGTTAATCGGTGCTTCAATCAACCGATCGACCTACGCGCGTAAATGAAAATCGTGCAACACTCTCGTGGCTTCGTATCCGAATTTCGAGAACGAAATTTGCCTGCCTGGATTTGCTCGCGTCGGACAAATATTTTTCGAATTCGAGAGGTTATACGAATCGATTCATTCCGTTTGTAATTATTTTCAGACATTTACCTTTGGATCGTGTCAATTTTCCCCCGGTATTTCCAGCTACGAATTTATCATTAAATGTTTTTCTTTTGATTTTTTCGTTTTTTTTTTTTTTTCTTGGTGGCTGCATATTGTTCGTAATTGTTCGAACTGGATGACCCGATCGGTATCAAAATGATGCGAGAGGAAATGTCATACGGTGGCACGAAAACTTCCGTAATTGTGAATAAATGATTGTCATCACATTTCTCTCCATTAGTGAATGTCGTATATATGCTCATCAATTTGCATTTATAATAAAATGTCGTATTAAAATATATTTGCCATCAATTATTATCCATTTCCAATAATTATGAACAGTTCTTCTTTGTGTATTTAGTAAGCAAAGTATCGTTTGTTATTTAATAAAATTAGTATATATTTTATTTGACAAGCTCTCTCTTCCCCTCGGAATGGTTTCCGCGTTCTCCAGCTTCTTTTCATAGCGAGGACTTGGATTCCCACATCGTGCTTATGGCGCGCTGTTCAGCCGAACAGTTTGCAATTCGCAATTGATCGAGCACGATCGATCGTTGATCTGAAGTAATCGTCAAACGCCAGAACTTGTCCTGAACAGGTCCCGCCCATAAGCGGGTCTGAGAATCTTGGCCTAACTAAGTGCAGATGACTGATACATACATTTATATATATATTTTAATTATTATTATTATATATATATATATATATATATATATATATATTGTATACATTTTATATATATATATATATATATATATATATATATATATATATATATAATTTTTTTCCTTTTTGTTTCATCTGTTAGAGCATTCGTAGAGTAACCATTATTATAAACGTTTTTTTAGGTTACATTGACTTGTTCTTTTGTGTGCCACGTGATGCGTATTTTTTAATGTAGCATGCTTTTTGAACTGGAAACTAAACCTCGGGAGTATGAACAGCGAAGACTACTTAGGAGAGAAAAGACACTGAAATCGTTCGCGTTCAGATTCGAAATTTCTCAGATCTCGGTTCCTTGCGAGTCGCGGATCGAAGAATCCCCGCGATCCTCTGCAATTACAGAAGAAGGAGACACTCTTTGTCGTTTTCCAAATTTTAGAAATTGCGACTGCAACTTGTAGAAGTATGAAATTTCGTCTGCTTGTAACGCTCATACATACGTTGCAGAGAAGTTGACAGCTCTAGCTTTAGAAAGTCGGCACGATTTCGGTTCTGAACGTCGAAACGTCAGGTAGTTTTTATTTGGTCCTTGACTCAGACAAGTTTGGACAAATAATTCCTATAACGATAGTTGTTTTTTTTTTTTCTTTTCTTTCTTTCTGACAATGTATTCAGTGAGTTGATACATTTGACGCGTTTTTTTGTGCAACACTCGCTTATTTGCTGTACACTACGCAACCGGAGCTTTGGATAACAAGAGAAGTTCATTTGTAACTGAAGTGTGAACAACATTCCCGGCCGCCGATGCTGGCACGAGAATAAACCTTTGTCGTTGTTGTTGGCAGTTCCTGAATATGGCGTCGGTGTTCATGCGGATTTTTAACCTGATTTGCATGATGCTCCTAATCGGCCACTGGAGTGGCTGCCTACAATTCCTGGTTCCAATGCTCCAAGGATTTCCTAGCAACTCATGGGTCGCCATCAATGAACTGCAAGTAAGTAACTGTCAGTGGATCGAATAACAAACACACTGATTATTGATAGATTTAATATAAATTATAAAACACATATAATGTTTAACTTTCATCGACATTCACTATCTATTCACTCTTCAGTCTCGTCTTATATCCTTCGCGTCTCAGGATCATCCCGATCACAACTGTTTCTCGTCACCATGCTCGCTCTCAATTGTTCTCGCATACATCTCTCTCATTCGTTCTTTCTTCTGCCATGAAATATATCAAACACTTACTGAAATATATCAATCACACTACACCACAATTATATGCACACTCTCGCCACACTCATCCTTCCATACAGACATTATGTATATTCATTCCACAATATATAATTATCTATGATAACCACTACCACAGTAACCAGTGTCGAAACTCGATGAGAAATCACTGTTATCTTCTTTAAACGTGTAACACGGATTTGCCAAGAGATATATTTGACAACGAAATTTCCGATAGAGAATCTCAGTGAGATTTGTAGGCCTTTCTTGCCCCTCTTCCCTGATTCCTTTCCCCAATTTTCGCCACAGATTTATCTTCACCCGGATGAAAAATTGAAGAGAACAAAGCGGAACGCGAGAGTTTGAAAAAACAAGAGGCGCAACCTAACCCTCCTTCTCCTCCTCCTCCTCCTCACAACTCTTCTCTCTGCTAATGGCTTTTCCTTTTATAACGAGTCCATTCTGTCGTCATCCCCCTCGAATCTAGAATGCCTCGAAAACCGAGAACGAAGACAATGATCTCTCAGCTGATTCTTCCTCCGGGAGAAGAAACAGTGGCAACGTGCGACGATAAATTTTCGACTGCTGTCGTTTCTTTTCTTTTTTTTTTTTTTTTTTTCTTCTTCCAGGATTCGTTCTGGCTGGAGCAATACTCATGGGCCCTTTTCAAAGCCATGTCGCACATGCTCTGCATAGGATACGGAAGGTTTCCACCGCAGTCCTTGACCGACATGTGGCTCACTATGCTCAGCATGATCAGCGGTGCTACCTGCTATGCACTTTTCCTCGGACACGCGACGAATCTCATTCAGTCGCTCGATTCCTCCAGAAGACAATACCGCGAGAAGGTAGTTAACATTCGACGTGCAAATCGATGGAATCATCGAGGAAAATCCTTCCTCTGTTTCTGATGCTGCGTTTAGGGTAGCCGTCTCTCGGAACTCTCTGGAGTTCGAGGTCGAAATATTCAAGAAGTCGGTGAACTTCTTTCGCGCGGCTTGAACTTTTAGAATTAAATACGCCTTTTTTGTACTCATTATTCTTTATTTTCTTTTTTTTTTATTATCCCATATTGAAAGTGATCTGTTGCTTTAAGCAAAATTTCGAGAACTATTTTTTTTTTTAGGAATATCAAAAAATGTTCGCACAAGTATATGGAATATTTTAATCTAACAGTATTTAGTCGGATATTTTTTATTTTATATGTTCCAAACGTGACGTGAATTAACAATTTCTACCCCGAACCAGGTGAAACAAGTAGAGGAATACATGGCCTACCGAAAGTTACCACGTGAAATGAGACAGAGGATCACGGAATATTTCGAGCATCGATACCAGGGCAAATTCTTCGACGAGGAATTGATCCTCGGGGAGCTGTCGGAGAAATTGAGAGAAGTACGAGCGATCATGATATACCGATCACCTCGACGAGAGAAGATTTCTAATAAATGTGTTCTCGCTTCGATTTCAGGACGTGATCAACTACAACTGCAGATCGTTAGTAGCGTCCGTGCCGTTCTTCGCCAACGCCGATTCCAACTTTGTCTCGGACGTCGTTACCAAACTGAGATACGAAGTCTTCCAGCCAGGTGAGCGTCCGACTTTCTATTCCTTGTATTCTCGGACTAACGTTCTCAAATTATTCGTACACACGTACACACGTACGTTGCCAAGAACGGAGTTTAATGTTTCTTCTTCGAGGAAGAATGCGGAAAATAACGCGAGAGTGGCGAAATCATTGCAGGTGATATCATCATCAAGGAAGGTACGATCGGCTCTAAAATGTATTTCATACAAGAGGGCATAGTGGACATCGTGATGGCGAACGGCGAGGTCGCGACCTCGCTGTCGGACGGCTCGTACTTCGGCGAGATCTGCCTGCTGACGAACGCGAGGAGGGTGGCCTCGGTCCGTGCCGAGACCTACTGCAATCTCTTCAGCCTCTCGGTGGATCATTTCAACGCCGTGCTGGACCAGTATCCGTTAATGCGCAGAACGATGGAAAGCGTTGCCGCCGAGAGGTATAAGCTTTGGTTAGGTTTGTTCTATCGAGTTGGTGTGCTAATAGATGTCAATCATCACTCCCACTTCCATGTTGATTTTGTTGAACATTGTGTACTGTCCGACGATGCGAGTTCTATCAGTCATTCTTATTCTTATTATTACTATCTTTATTATTATTATTACTATTATTATTATTATCATCATTATTATTATTATTATCATTATTGTTATTATTATTATTATTATTATTATTATTATTATTATCGTCGTTTGTATTTGAAAACATTTCATATTCGCTTATATCTCTTCAACATATTTTTGTTCTTGTTATTATTATTATTCTTGTTGTTATTATTATTATTATTATTATTATTGTTATTATTATTATTATTACTGTTACTCTGATTATTATTCTGACATAATTTTCGTTCGTATTTCTCTGTGCTGGTTTTCAACTCGATACGCTTGTTTTACATACACTTTACATACACACAGAAAGAAAAAAAGCGAAAAAGAAAGAAAGAAAGAAAGAGAATCTTATTTGGCTCGTGTCGTTCTATTTTCTGCGATTGAGGAATCACTCTTATTGAACGTGACAGTGCAGAATCTTTGTTTCCTTTGGGGAGAGAGTATTACAACGAAAAGCGCACTAACTTGCGATCGAGGGACGTGTATCCGTTAGATACGCGTCCCCAATTTTAATCGAGAGGATTTTTTTGGTGGATGTTTTTTCAACTTTTCCTGTTTTTTTTTCAAAATATCCTCTCTCGACACACCCGTGATTCCCCGTTCGACGAGCGATGCCCGTTTGTTGTTGTAGAAATTCGACGCGAGTCGAGCGGGGTTTCAAAGGGCTCGAAAAGAAAGAAGAAAGCTTGAAACACCGCGAATCGAATTATCGAAATATAAATCACACTCTCGACACATTCACTATACATAGTAATGTTGTATTCATGATTTTGCAAACATACTTTATAAATCAGTTTTGGATTTCTCGGTTTTCTGCCGCATCTCCGCAGAGTCACATGTGTTTCTTTCCTTTTTTTTTTTTTTTTTTTTTTTTTTTTTTTTCGTTCGAGATAGAACATTCTATGATTTATCGAGAATTTGACGCACTTTTATAGATGTATATATATATACCGTAGCAGCGTTTTCCGTCATTTCTGTGCACCGATATTGTTTCTCTTCTCGAATCAGTTTCGATTACGTTGCAATAGCTTATGTATTGTGTAAAGTTTCACTTTGAGTTCGAATCGCTGCACGTTTTAACCCCTCGATGCAGAATTGAAAAAACTCCAAGAACAATATCGAGAAATTAAAAACCCTGTAAATCAATATATAAGTCAAATAGAATAATTTCGAGAAGAATTATTTATATATATAATATATTTTCTTCTTCCCGAAATACTCTATTTGATTTATATACACACATATATATGTAAGGCTAAACTATTGTGTTTTAATGTATTTCATTTACTTTTTTTTTTTTTATTCAAAAGACAAAGAACTCAATGGTTCAAGTCATATCAGTTACATTTTCCAGTTGTTCTCTTCTTCGGATTCCCGTTTCTCATTTCCGAGAGGGGAGGGGTTAAAACGGATGATGAATTTTAAAATGCACGCAAAAAATGTGATTCTGCGGCTCGCATTTTCAAAGCTACTGACTTTCTTTTACCCAGTCTTGTACCTCACATGAAACCTTTAGCGGTGCAAATGGTATTTAGAAAACGAATAACTAAACTAAAAATCTGTTGCAAGTCGTGGCGGGATAATAACGTTCGATTTTTTAGGGAATTACCTGTACTGCTAAACGGTTTGTAAGTCGATCGATGTGAATAATCGTTGGTTGTGTTCCGTGCAACATTCCCTACGCTTAATTGTGCTCTCCCCGTTAAATAGGTTGAACAAAATCGGCAAGAATCCGAATCTGGTGGCTCATCGCGAGGAAGATCTCGGCAGCGAGTCGAAAACGATAAACGCCGTGGTGAACGCACTCGCGGAGCAAGCTGCGCATGCTAGCGCCAGTGAAGAATCGGTAAATATCTCCTTTTCTTTTTTTTTTTTTTTTCTTCTTTCTCTATCAAAGTTTTTGAAACAAGAGATCACGCGTAAAAAGAAACAAGGAAGAAAGAGATAAATTCATCTATCCGAATTCCGGAAACAGGTACACAGCATGGAGCTGAGAACACTTCCAGCTTGCCTGTTGCCCAGACCAAAGTCTGAGAACAATTTCGCGAGTCAGGAGCTCTCGCGAGAGGGGCGGCGGATCTTCCACAAGAGCGACACTTTCCACAAGGACTCGTATCAATGACGACACTCGTTATACTAGCATACAGAGAGATATTAACGGCTCCATGAGCGACAGTGGCGTTGCACACTGTCGATCGGATCGAGTTGGCGGACGATTTTAAGCTTGGATCCTGGACGCTACACTAGAAGCAGTCTATACCATAGATATATACGCTATGCCAGTAGTAGTCTTCTAGCGATCGGTTTCTATAGCGCCTTCTTATATTAACCTGTGACGGCACACGTTCCAGTTCAGGATCTATGCGTAAAATCGTGCGAACCAATCGTCGTATCTGGACACGTTCTCCGACACGGTGGCACAGTGGGCAACACTCTCGCATGAAATGAAACGACGTGACTGCGCTGTTATATATACATATATATATTTTTTTTTCCTCCGCCTCCCTCTCTGCGAAACGTTCAACCTCGACAGCAATAAACGAAGCGGCGGACACAAGACGGAGAGAAGAGCAAGATCGAATCGCATGCGTAGAGGGTTGGCCAGCGATTGGGTTGTGCCTCGTTGTCACAGAAACGAGCTTGAACGAAGAGATCGAGAAGAAAACGTCTCGCGTCCGCGCGAGAAAACGTTAATATTTTCAACGGCGGATCATCTCACGGAGCCCGGGAGAAAGGGGGAGAAGGACGATATCGATAAGAGATACGAAATGATCGACGATAACTGTGTGCCATCGGTCGGAGAACACGGAGCCGTTATTCCTGCCGCGAGTCTTCTTCATCGGCGCGGGCGTCGCGATCCGAAAAAAAGGCGAACAGAAACTGATCAGCGACGACCGGGGTGAAGACCTCAACGACGACGAACAGCAGGCCTAGAAAATTTATAGAGCGTATCGTAGAGCCCATCGTGGACTAGGTAGAAAAAAAGAAAATCCTAAATACAAGAAACGACAGTGTTGAACGATGCGTACATTTCTCTGTGATTTTGCAAAAAAAGAAGAAAGAAAAAAACGCCGTACGTTTCGCACTTTTCAAGGGGGAAAACAAAAAAATGATGGAACCCGGGGTTCGAGGGAGGGGAGGGGGCTAAAACGAGGGCGAGAGAATATAATCTATACACGAACGATTAGGATTCTGTTTTTTGGTTCTTTTCTAAGACAACTAACTAACGTAATAGAGACGAGGAGGAATGGAGAAACTCGTGAAACGAGGGATATTCCAGTTATAAGTTTGTTATAACGTGTTTTAACTTTAGTATGCGTATCGTTGAACAATCCCGTGCGAGTGAACCGAAACGAGGAGAAAGAGGAGGGATCGAGGGAAGTACAAAAAAGGAGAGCAACGTGCAATCGAGAGAGATCTCCAGAACGAAGACCAGAGGAAGAGCAAGAACGAAGAGCATGTCTCATTTATCGCGGCGAATCGGTCCTATCGATTTCGAGATCAATGGAGGATGCTTGGCAATTCGGAACTCGCCTCGACGCCATTTTATTTTTCGAACTGGAAAATCTAAGAAAGAGCTGGTAAAAACAACGTCTCGAATCGAATGAGCGAATGGCAGTAGACAAATTGCCACATCGTATCTCAAAATCTCAACTTCTATTGTAATAAATGTCGAAATTTAGAAAGACCGTCCTGAGACGCGAACGAGAGGGATGAAAACGATCCAAAACGCCACGGGAAACGAGATGGATGAATAAGGAAAGAAAAGAAAGAAAAAAAATATACGTGAGAATTATTCAGGGATAGGAAATTGGGAGGACAAACGGGGTATCGAGCGGAGAAGTTTAAGTCGTTCTACAAACGAGGCAGTAAAGTTAATATTATACAAGAAAAGAAAAAAAATCTAAATCCAAGGCCCAAAGACCGTGTTAACTTGTTGAGTGTTCTTTGGGCTACCACGGCTAATATATATATATATAAAAAAAATAACACAAACGTCAATGAATGAGAGATAAAATTAAATAAGTGGAACGCGAGAGAGAGCGAACGAGAGAACGAGAGAGAGAGAGAGAGAAAGAGAGAGAAAGCGAGAGAGAAAGAGGGAGAAAAAAAATAAGTATCTTTTTATTCGGGCGAGAAATACATACGCGATGTACTATATAAGAAGCGAACGAACAAAACAAAAGAGAGAAACACAAAATAGGGAAAAGAGAGGAAGCTATAAATATTATGTAATAAATTATTATTATTGTTACCGATCATCATTGCAATGATTATTACATCCACCGCATAAATGAAAATAAAGAAACACTAAGCAGTTTAAACGACAAGAAGATAAACTAAGACGCAAAAAAAGAGAAAATGAGAGAACAGATTACACACACACAAACATATATACATATATATATATAATATGTATATATATATACATATTAATAATATGTATATATATATATATTATATGTATATATACATATACATAAATGTACATATAAAGTATGCATAGTGGTCAATAACGTGTTGCAAGATATTAACGACGTAATGTTTTAAACTGTAAAACGCGAAAAAGGATTAAACAAATCGATAAACAACCCACAGACAGTATGAAACACAGTGACGATCCTTGAGAATGAAGTACTGTTGCCTCTCTGATATTCGTTTCGCAATTCGGTTGAATATTTTTCAAATATAGGGGAAAAGAGCGGAATATAAAAAGAATCGAATTGATATTAGCACACACCGACCGAATTGTAATTATTTTTCTAGCTGTTGGCGTTGTATGTTTTAACGGTGTTATTCTTTGCGTATTTGAAAGTTTAACGCGACTGTTGAATTTGTCCGATATATTAGCGTATTCGTAGCAGAGGGAAGAACGCTCGGTTCTGAGAGAATGTTTTCTGGACCAGTGGCTCCTGAACTCGAATTTTATTATCCGCGGTGTCTCTCTGTTCGATTTTTAAAACGTACGAAACATTCCCGTTCTCAGTTCCGTCATTGTACCGTCGAGCGAAATTTAAGAAATTTCAACGCGTTTTCGGTTTCGAAATTTTATCCGGTAATCTTTCGCAAGGAATGATTGTTACGTTCCCACAAAAGGAAAAGAAGCGATAGAGGAGATCCAGGAACCACTGCTTCCGCGTGTTAACTCAATTGAACATAGAATCGCATCTGTTAACAAATAAATACTCTTCTTTAAACAATTAAATGAACGCTCCGAGAGTTTAATTTATAAAATAGCAACGTTGCTTGTTACTTTGAAGTATTTTATATATATATATATATATATAAATATTATGTATGCACACAGAGGAACACGCATTGACGTATACACTTGTCACCTACGAACACATACGTTACGGAGAGTGGGAAAAAAAGAGAAAAGAAAGAAAGAGAGAGGACGAAACGTGCCATTCGTTTCCTAGTTGAACGTACACTTTCGTGCATATGTGACTCGACATGCATATGCACATGTACATATATACATATATAAATATATAAATACCCACGTAAGAATCTAGGGATATATTATATACATGCGTTTCATACATATACATATGTAAACATATACACCTACACACGTACGAGGAAAACAGAAGTACCTATTTTTCATGTAAGAGAGAGATAGTTTTCTGTCATTATTTTACATCCCCTCACGTCATCCTGAATAATATTATATTATATATACACATATATATATATATATACATATAAATTAACGATAAAGAAAAGAATAACTAACTAACGATAATGATTATTATTATTATATATAAATATTGTAATAGCGATGAGAGTGGACGGTTTGCGTACCGTGGGTCGGAGAGAACAAGCATCTCAAAAAGATGGTAGAATATTCGTAGACCGCATGACCGACGTTTTTATAGAAATTAACTCTATACACACAAAAATCGGTCTAGGACTAATCTGCCAATGTGGTTCGGGCCTAAGGTGTACGCGTAACTAATTATACAAAAGAAACAAAAATAAAGGGAAGAAATTCAAGAGAGAATGAAAGTGAGAGAGAGAGAGAGAATGAGAGAGAAACTGAAAACAAGTGAGAAAGAATAGGACTAGATTGTTACTAATTGAAAAAAAAAAGAAAAAAAGAGAAGAAGAAGACGAGCAAGAAGGAAGTAGAACGTAAAAGTTTTATTATTATTACGATTATTATTATGATTACAATTACTATTATTATTATACGGTTATTGTCCTACGACTATAATTACCATTCGTCGTTATTATTTTACGATTCTTGTTATTATCATTCGTAGAGCGAAACGTGAACAAAGAAAAAGAAGGAAAGGAAGGAAATTGTATTCTTTTTGCTATGAAACACTGCTGAAAAAGTAGAAACAGAGACTCGATAGATGATTATTTAGTCGCTGCTGTTAACGAAAACGTTCGGAGTGATAGTGACAGAAAAGAGGAATTAATATAAGATAAGATACGTGTACATAGGGACAGCCGCGGAAGGAGCGTAGAGCATTCCCAAAGAGAGAGCGAAAAAGAGAGAATTGTCATACAAAAAAAATAGCAAGATGAGAAGAGAATCAAGCGATGGATATAACATTAGGATTAAATATCGAGCAAATGCGAACAAACACAGTGTTTAAAGAACAAATAAATAAATCGTGCGGTCCGATTCGAGAAGTGCACGTGTTATTTGCTAAGCGACAAGAGTGAGACGCGTAATTAAGCGAATTAAATAAAACGAAAGCAACAAGGAGAAACAAAAAACAAAAAACAAAAAAAGAAAAAAAAATTTTAAAAGCAACATGCAAAAAGACGAAGTTAGTTTTTGTATCGATATCGACAGAATAGATTTCGCGAGGTAGCTAAGACGACGATCAGACAGGGGTCCGGAAATCGGAAATGGTAACAGGGAAATATCCGCGCGTGTGACACTAATCACGTGCGGCGAGATCGAAGAAACGGAGTTTGATTTAAGAGAGAGAGAGAGAGAGAGAGAGAGAGAGAGAGAGAGAGAGAGAGAGAGAGAGAGAGAGAGAGAGAGAGAGAAATAAGCCAGAAAGAAATAAACGAGAAATCATCGAGGAATCTTTAGTTTTCACGTCCGAGTCCGATGATGATGAATTGCGAGATGAATCGTTCGCGGTTGAAGAAACGATACGAAATGTAACACACACGACGCCAGAACTGTCCTAGAGCCAGAGAGAGTATCAAAAGAAGATGAAAAAAAAGAAAAAAGAAAAAAGGAGAAAAAAAAGTATACAACACAAAAAGACTGTAGCGCCATGAAATATGTGTATCTCGGATTTTAACATATCAGACGTTTCGTTTCGAGCGACTGCAAGTACGTTCGCGACGAGATTTTTCGCTGAATATAGCTGAGATTGCCGACTATGCACCATGTTTCGGAATGACGCACGCTTTGGACGAGTCTGGTGATGGACTAAACGACGTTTTTTAAAAGACAAAGATCCAAGCTGTAAATTAGCATTTGAAAGTTATAGTAACGCGAGTAAGGTGATTTATCGTGCAAGAGTGATGGGAAAGTACCGAATTCGAACTTCCGATGAAAAATCGGAAACTCGATCGACGAATCGTTAGAGATGACATTTCCACAATGTTTGTTCAAGTCTTACAAATCGGGAAGGAAACAAAAATGTCCCTTCGGTATTCTCCAATTACTTTCGCACGAGAAATAACCGTGTTAGCAATGCCTAACACTCTACGACGTCTTGAAACGTGAAGATCTTTCAGACAGAAGTTTCATTGATGTATGAAAACCATTGTTACAACTTTTTACTCGCATAGGGAATACCATAGACGTTTCTATCGCCTCCATGACTTTTCAAGGATCTTCGAAGGCCTTCGCTTTTCAAGACTTTCTAGATACTATTCCTACACCTCGAACATAAAGATCGAGCAAGTCCCCGAACTTTTTAACGCTTGAAACATCCAATTAGAAATATTTATCAACCTGTAAACATTAAACCCACTTGAAATCAAAAATTTCCGAAATTTCACAGAGATCTGTCTGAACCTAGAGTGAACCGATCACCAGACGTTTCAAAGCTTCCTGAAAGCCTCCCTACTCTCCAAATCTCGCAATTCACCTTACTGTTGTTCTCGAAAAAACAAAAAACAAAGAAGTAAAAAGCAACAAAAAGAGAAAAAAAAAAAGAAAAAATTCCATTTTCGACGTCATTGGCTTGCGAGTTCAACGAGCCTATCGAGGATCCGTCGAGTCGAGAAAACCGTAGTCGAGCTGAACCGTAGCGGTGACAGAGTCAGTGTAGACAGACAGATACACACGCCTACACACACACACACACACACACACACACACACACACACACACACACACACACACACACACACACTCACACACACACATACCTAACTAAAAAAGTAAAACTTCCGTTTCCGGTTTCAAGGATCGAACGCAACTATTTCAAACGAGAAAAAAAGAAAAAGCAACAAAAAAATTAAAAAGAAAAAAGATAAAAAAATTATAACGATCGAGGTAATTGAAAACATGCGACTGTCCAATGCCAAGTAGAATGCTAAGCTTCGTTAGACAGTACACTGGCACAAGTTTCTCGGTGATCTCTGCACGGTGACACGCAAGACTTAGCTCCATTTTAGATCGCTGTAGATCCAGACGATTTTGTTCTCGTGCAATCACGTACACGCTGTTACATACATACGCGCGCTATTGAAAGCGATTGAAACAACGAAGTCGAAGATATTAAAATTCGTTATCGCGGATCAATCGACACGTCGATCGCCTTGTAGATCTCCTTAGGATGATAGATCCAGACCCTCCCGTGTCTCATCATGCTCCTCTTTTTCACGAGCTTCTAACTTCTTTGGAAACTTTGGTGTTCTTTCGTGGTGCGATGAAACAATTGGAGATTTAACCCTCTCGAGTAAATAAATCCAAACGATCGAAATTGAAGTTGATCAGCGATCGATTTTAATTTAAATTTAATTTAATTTCAATCTCAAA